TTTTTTTACCCCCCCCCCCTTTTTTTTTTTTAAGAGAGGAAACTGCAGCCTCAAGCTCCAAAAGTCTTGCGTCCCTCTTTGTTCTGGGGCCAACACAGACACCTCCACCAGTTCTGAATGTTTTGGGCTTCATCTCCTGACAGCTGCAGAGCAGTCGAAGCTCAAGGCACGGACAGCTCAAGCTCATTTTTGCGCTGCATATTTACCACTCTTGGGGAAAAACCAGAAATCATAGTTGATTCTGATTCTAACTGAAGTCTGCAAACCCTCATGTCGTATTTTTCCAAAGGGCATCCGGCCTTTAGCTAAATGCATCACGGCTAACTGTTTTTCTAAGTTGGACCATCTCTTCCTCAGGCTCGGCCGAAGCTCTGAGCTCCACTGCTGAGGGGATACGCATTTATATCTATGTTTAATCTCTTTCAGGCTATGGCATCGGCCTTCCCCAGGGTTCCCCTTTAACCCGCAACGTGTCTGAGTTTGTGAGTCGCTACAAGTCTGACGGCTTCATGGACATGCTACACGACAAATGGTATAAAGTCGTACCCTGCGGGAAGAGAGTCTTTGCAGTCACTGAGGTAAGTCATCAGGGGGAGTGTTCACATGGGGGACGTGGACAGTGTGCAAAGCAAACCCTTCCATGCTGTACTTCTATAAATGAATTTTCCTTTGGGATTCAGACAAGATTGGCTGCCTGCTAAGGGCACTCACTCACACACACACTGACAAAGACATATACACACAAAGACATAAAATCACATAAAATCTGGCCTACTCGCTGACCTTAACCACAGTTTGAGGCACGAACTGTCTGAGCGTCAATACCTATTTGTATTTTGTGTGCAGGATGGAAGAGTACTCAAAGTTCCTGCGTTCCCTTTTTTATTCTGTCTTTTGTGAAAACTCTCTAGACATAGCACACTTTCTATATCTTGTTTTTGAGACGAGAGAATCTTATTCAACTCCCTTTGGCCATCCTTTTTTAAATCCCACTTCAAAGTTGAAATATGGTAACAAAGACGCAGCCTTAGCTTCACCCCCTCACCAGAAACTTATTAGTCTCCTTCCCATTTGAAGCCTACCGAGTGGGGCACTCTGAAACAAAGTGCGCATTAGTGCAAAGTTGCCCTCTAGATCAGGAGCAAAAGGAGGTCAGTGTTGATGCTGATGAATTTGTCCAGTCAGCATGGGGCTAATTGCCATCAGAGGCAGCGCAGAAACGAGTTGGGTGGAGGAAACGTGATTACAGAGCAGTGGAGGAGCACCCCACTGCCTCTCCTACGTCCTCCAGACCCATGAAAGCGTCATGAGGTAGACACCGTGTCAAGAGGAGTGTGGGCGAACCGAATGGAAACTAACAGCTTTTTAAATAACCGTTGTCTCCTTCCACCATCTCCCTGCTAACTGCTGTTTCTTTTCATTACTCTCACTTCTCCTGCCTTTTCGTTTCCCTCCCCAACATGTTGCCTTTTTTTTAATACTCTCAAGGGCTGGCACAGCCAAAGTGTGCAACAGCAGAATATCAATTGAAAATTCGCACACAGTGACCTTAATGGTGCTTGTTTAATATAAATAATCCATCTTTGTTTTATTTTTGTTTTATTTCTGTTTGCTTTAATGCTTCACCGATCTTTGTCCCTCCTCCACCGTGTCCTCACTCTTTCTGCTCCCGCCTTCTCAGACTCTACAGATGGGGATCCAGCATTTTTCCGGCCTGTTTGTGTTGCTGTGTATGGGGGTGGGCGGAGCCTTGCTGACCCTGGCAGGTGAACACACCTTTTATCACCTGGTTATCCCCCGTCTCCGGCGCTCACCGACTCTGCAGTACTGGCTGCACACCAGCCAGGTGGGTGTCATCTGATAATACAAGTAAATATTTTCTAAGTTTAAGGCTTATCAAACCTTAAGGCAGGGCTATTCAACTGGCGGCCCGCGGGCCACATCCGGCCCGTGAGTGACCAAAGTTCGGCCCGCCAATTGGTTCACTCATCTCTTAAGCCCAGACCCACGGTTTTCTACTTTAATTATTCTAAGTTCTTTTAGTTAAACATAGACATGTTTGGTATCTACAGAAATGTCAGAATCGTGGCTACAAACTGGTAAAAACCATTTCTATGAACACCCAAGACAGTTAAAACTACAAGCAGTTGAAGATAAAATGATGAAAGTGGAAATAAAATTGGTTTAAAAATTTGGCAAGTCAGAGATGTCAAAAATATTAATTGTGTTAAATAAGAGGCATAATGTGTTTGTTTTGTTTTTGATAATGTTTAATTATCACTACTTTTATAGGGTTCTGTATGTTGTATTCATGATTAAATGCAGCAAAATAAACCAATTCAAAGGTAACAGATCTTTGTAATACTTGGTTTATTTACATCATAACTAATTGATGGGTGTTCGGCCCCTCAGCTGCTGACTGGCAGTAACTGTGGCCCCCCGGAGCAGTTTAGTTGAATAGCCCTGCAATTAAGGAGATGCATATGGACCACTGCTTTTCATGCCAAAGTTTTGGACCAGGATCTTCTTATATTATACCGATACCAGCATTTTTACAAGTACTCGTACAAAATGTCCCGATACTTGGGACAGAAACCAATACCAGTATCAATACAGGTATCGATACTCCACTGAGTGTGTTATAGTTTACAGTTCAAGTGAAAAGTTTCAGTTCCATGTTATACAAGTTTTAAAAAATCATTTGTCTTGATTTAAAATGTGTCAACAATATCTACCAGGCTGTAGATTTGATTTAATCCTGTCTGGGTGTAGACCTATAAGGAAGGAGAGACACCGTGCTCTAAACAAAAAATAATAATAATAATAAAAAAACATGTTAATGTCATTGTGTAATATGAAAGTTCTAACATAGGAAGTACTCAGCAATGGTACTCGATATCGGCAAGTACCCAAACTGAAGTATTTGTACTCAGAGAAAAACTGGTATCGGGACACAGTTGTAATCACTGACTATTCAGCACAGCGTGAGAGATGAGCTTTTTGTATCGTTTTAATGATTTTGTTTTAAGTATTATATTTATATTTTTTAGAGTCTCTTGTATTCAGTTTTGTCTTTTGGCAGTTTGTTTTGTGTACAGCACTTTGACTAATGAAAATTGTTTTAAAATGTGTTATATAAATTAACTTAATTTGACTGAATGTCATGGCTGTTATGACAAAAACTTTAAAATGACATATGTAATATCGTGCATCTACTACCACACAGTTTTTGCTTAAAATCTGTAGAATTTACAATCCAACCAAGTTTTTTATGTCAAATAGTTGCAGCAACCATCTTGAATTGAAATGACTTTAAAAGTGAATTAGTTGTAGATCTACATTATTTTCCCTTTCTGTTATGTTCCATCGTTTAATGTGAAATTATGCGGGATAAACAATGTTATTCTTTTTCTTATTTATACATCCAGTGATTACCTTCTTATTGTTTAATTAAAATCCATCCGGTGGTTCATGAGATGTTTTGCTAACAGACGTAGGTTGACTCCAACAGTTATAGCTAATGTTTATAGTAAAAGTCTAATGAGAATATATTCTGAATGTTTCGTTCAACTTTTTCACTATTTATGTGAGAATTTTCTCCAGAAAAAGACGTAGTTCACTCCAGATAATTATTGGCAACATTTTAAACAAAGAACCAGTGCAGTTTATTAGCAGTCAGAATGTGTGTTGAAAATCAGTCTCGACACAAAATCTAAATACCCTGTCACTATAATGTTTTAGACAACTTGTGCAGACTGATGAGATTTTTATTATGAAGAAATTACATGTATAGGTCATAAATTTGTTCAGTTTGATAACATCACAGTTTGTACCTATCCAAAAGTGGATTTTCTTTTGTCACCTTCAGCATAGATACCTTCAGTGTTGGACTTTTTTTTTAATGAATTGGCATTAGTTGTCTAAAACAGTGGTTCCCAAAATTTTGTCTTCTGACCCACAAAATATTCATGGCAAAACTTTGTGACCCCAAATATTACTGGTCTGAGTACACAAACTTCATTAATAACCCTAAAAACACAGGTTTTTGACTATCTAAACAGCTTTACACAAATATAAATACTTATTTATACTAATTTTGTGTTTTTGTAATAATTATAGGGAAAATATTACATCATCACCCTTTAAATTGATTTCTGGAGATT